AAAAAAATCTGATGTGATCAGCACATAACCGACCGCATCGTGTATTGTCTAGTTAAATGAAAGTGTTGCAGAATATTATAAAAATGTCTGTTAAATACTTCTTTCCAATTTTTAGGACATTAGTAAGCTTATAGTTAACATACTAAGAAAAATGTAAATTTGGCTCTTAGTAGAGTTTCGCTTTGTGCTACCCGAATTCCCTGAAATGCTCGCCAGTTAGTTTCGGTAACAACCAGAACTCAAATATCAAATTTCAAGAAATTCCATCAATTTGTTCTGTGGATATGGTGAAAAATGTAAAATCGGCCCGCAAATCAGTTCTCGAGCCCTGATCTTTCCAAAAAAGTTATATGTTCATTGCTTTAATATGAGGAATTCATATATTAAATTTCAATGAAATCGGTTATTTCTCTTTATATACACAAAAGTGTATGTTTGGCCCGTAGTAAACGTCTAGTTGACGATGCCTGATCTTTCCAAAAAATTTACATCTTCATTGTTTTAATACGGGGAATTCATATATTAAATTTCAATGAAATCGGTTGATTATTTCTCTTTATATACACAAAAATGTATATTTGGCCCGTAGTAAACGCCCAGTTGCTGATGCCTGATTTCTTCCAAAAGTAAGGAATTTTTGCGGACGGTCGAGCTGAGCTTATATATAAAATTTCAAGTAAATCGGTTGAATATTTTCTTCAAAATGTTCAAAAATGTAAAACAGGCCCGCTAAAAAGTGCAGTTCCCGAGGCCTGATATATACCAAAAGTTGATCGATCCGTGCCATGATGGAAACAAACTTACATATAAAATTTCATCAAAATCGGTTCAGCCGAACTTGAGATACACGCGTGCACACACAGCCCGACAGACGGACAGACCGACAGACCGACAGGTTGCTAAAAATTGTTTATTTACACTTCCCTACTATGGAGAAGTACGTTCCCGCCGAAAACTCGATATGCAAAATTTGTTGCCATCACATAACCTACCTATGTTTACACAATACGGTCGGTAAAAAACTATTACTTTTGACAACCTTAAATGTCAGCTATTTGTCAGTTATGACAATACGCTCTCTATGAACACACTCTGCGTTCATTTACTAAGAAAAAAATTATTGTATTTTGTAGAAGTATCTATAATATATCTCTAAAAAAAAATTTTAAATTTTAAAGAAACAAAATTTTTTGAAAATATTTTTATAACCTACATTATTCACTTTGACTTTTCCAATAACTTCAAAAGTCCATAAACTATATGAACAGAAAGTAGCAGAAAATTTTTGAAGCCAGCATAGAATACGATTTAAAAGCTGCAACATAAAAGTTGTTGCCAGCATAAACCAAAAAGTAATCATTTTTCCCCCCGCCCCCCGCAATTTTTTATAAATTTTCTCTACAAATCATACAAATTTTTCAATATTTTGTTCTTTTTTTGCTTGCTAAGAGATATTTAAAATTTTATAATTGGTAATGCTAATTTTCATAAAATATTTATATTTCGTTACACAATTCGTCAAAATTTGACAAAAAAAAAAACAGCTCCGACTGATAGAAATATAGGTCTGGACCTTTAGAGAGAGTGACAGTTCACAGCTGACAAATTTACACTTATTCTTATGGAATCTATAGAGGGCACTTTTTAACACCATAAGTCTCCCACAAGATCAGTCTTTTTAAATTTTGCTTTTTAAATTAAAAGTTAAAATTCAATCTTTTTTAAAATTCTCAGCGAGTTCTTAATATATTTTTTAGTAGCGTAACTTGATTTGCAATTCGCCAATGTTTTGGTACTATGTATGTAACAAAATCGCAGAGCAAAAAATTTTAACTGTAAGCAATTCTTAAAAATAATTCTTAAAAATTATTGTTTTTGATATTTCTTAGTTTTTTTAAAGTAAACATTTAACTATTTTAAAATAGCTTGTTCGTTTTTTAATGAAATGAATTGCAAAAGATTTTTAGCAGGTAGGTTAAGATTTAAATATTTAAAAGGCGAAATGTCGAGAAAAGTGAAGCGAAACAAATTTGGCATAATGCATGAATTTTACCATCTTCGTAATTTGGGAATTGTGGCCTATAATTTATTATAATTTTAATTAGAAAAATTTAGTTAAATGCAATAAATTTGAAATGCAAGTTTTTCTTTAATTTATTAAAGCAAAATAGATGTAACACTTATATTGTTTAGTTTTATTTTTTTCAAACTTAGACTTCCGCAATAAGATTCTGATTGATCGCACCTGAGTGCGATGACCTGCAAAAATTGAGATGATCAAAAATGACTATCCTGAAAAGTTTTACAAAACGAGCCAACGTGATGGTTCTCTTATCACCTCTAATTATCACGTTTACCACTACTGGAATAATACATAGCCGAGATAGTATCACTTCCTGTAATATGACTACCAGAAAATGGGTGATAGACGTAATAGTATTACTTCATGCGATATTTACGTGCGATAAAATTACCAGAATGTAGGTGACTGTTTCCCTCACCACGAGTTTCCGTATGGGCAAAATGTATGAATCATGAACTTTTACCTTTTGATAAGCATTAAGTTTTCTGTAGACAATTAAATTATGAATTCAATACTTTAATTGAATCATCGAATAAGTAAATAAGTCATCTGCAGTTCTATATACTGAAGGAGTGTATGTAATCCTTGCAGAAACTGCAATTAAATACATATGTTAAAAGTATGTATGTATGTATTTAAACAATTTTTTAACACACTGGATTTGGGTCATTTGGTAGATGCTGTATTAGTTAATTGCACTCAGTGAGCTTTTCATGTGAAGTCGATCATGTAGATACAAAATTATACTGCATTGTTATGTAGAAATTATTGCACTTGATTAATTAGTATTATTTTGTAACGCCAATTTACATGATATTAAATAAATAAAAAAAATACTTAAATTTATTAATATATAGTTTTCTTCCCTTATTTAGAGATAAAATTTGGTAGAATTTTTTCTTAAAAATTTCAAACAAATAAATTTCTAATTCGTTGGCAAGGAGCATCTTTGTTTCTACCCCGCTTGATAAATCATATCTTGCAAAAAAAACAACACAGTAAAGCCAAAAACATCAGGTAAGTCTCTTTCTTTATTCCCAACTTTCTCAAATTGAAATTGATAATTTTTTTTTTCTCCTGAAAAAGTAAGCGACGCAGGTATAAATATTAAAAAAAGGAAGTTTTATGTTTTCACTTATATAAAATATAATTTATTAAATTATAAAAAATATAAAAACTGTAAAAAACTGTAAAAACTTATAAAAAATGTATAAGAAATTAAAAAAAGAACAAATTTTTTTGTATAAAGGAAAAAGTGCATAGTTTCAAATTTTTGCTCCCATTTAAAAACCAAGCCAATTTGAAAAAGCAAAGCAACTAAAGAGAGTAGGATTTAACCGGATTTTCGATTCAATGGTTGCAAAACACATTTAGGAAACGGGTCACACAATCACAGAAGATAACTTAAAGGTATTAAAGGAGGTAAAAGGAAAACACAGGAGAGAAGTTCATGAAAGCATGCAGATATACAAATCAAACAAGGACTGCCTACTGAACATGGACGAAGGTAACGCGGCTACTTAGCTCTTTAAATTAATTATTTGGCCAGTTTTAAGGTTTAAAACAGGTATAAATTTTTTTTGTAAATAATAACAAAGAAAAATAAATAAATAAATAATCAAATTCTAGATTAAGTCAGGTAGATAATTATATTAAGTCAGGTATAATATTCCTAATTTTAATAGATTTCAATTTTTATTGTTTGTTATCTTAATTAGAAGGAAATCAGCTTTGATAAAGTGCGTATGTAGCGGACAAAATATATTAGCAAAAAATAAAAAAGTATTTTATTCCGAATAAAAGGAAGTTTTCTTTTCATACCAATAAAAAAAGAAAAAGAAAAAAATAATAAGAAATATAACACGATCAGTGGCATTTAAAAAAAAAAACAGGAACAAATTCAAAAATTCGTAATATTTCGTAAAAATAAATTGAATATTGGGACTTCTTAGATATAAAGACATTACATTAATATTATTGTATACAGATTTGTTGCAGAACTTTTTTATTTTTGTGTTATGTTTATTTTCTCATAAGCTTAATAAACCTGTTATGCAGGGCAGAGGCGATAATATTCGTTTTTGTATAATTTATTATACAATAATATATGTTATTATATCATTGTTTTGTTTATCATTTTCTACAAAATTAATAAAATCAGCAAAGGAAAATAATTCGTGCATGAATCGTATTAACGCGTATGAAATAAAGTAAGCACCCAAAAAAGTTTTTTTTTATGTTTGATTTTACTCATAAATGTAAGTAGCCAAAAAAGATTTTATGCACTTACATATACTCGTATTATGTTATAATTGAAAAATAATCCAGTGAGCAAATCTAAAATGCCAAAAATGGTGAACAAAAGGAAACCTATATGCGTTGAATCATTGTTGAACATACTCGTAGAACTATAAGTAACATACTAACGTAACTATAAGTAACGCAGAGATAAATTTGATTTAAAATTGTTTTTAAAAATTTGTTTTCAAAAATATTTGAAATTAGTGCGATTCGCACTAGGGGCTTCTGGTATATTTTATAATATGTATTTTCGAATAAATTGGAAATCTTCATGATTTGGGATGTTTGAAAAATAAAAACGATTAAATACAAAATATATACAGAATTTATTTTATTTCATTTAAATAATAACAAAATTAAATTGCATGTTCTTACAAACTAGAATAATAAATTACAGGTAGCAAAAAATTTTTTAGGTAAAACAAAAATAGTAAATACATAAAATTCCTGTTTTTAAAAAAAAAATTTAAATTTACTTTTTTATTAACTAAAGACTTTTTTTATTAACTATTTTTCTTAGACTTACTTACTTATTTTCATTTACTTACGTATTAAACTTTTATCTAACAAATGCTAAAGTAATTTTAGGTACATATTATGTAAATGTAAAATAATATTTAATTAAGTTTGAATGTGATACATTAATATTAAAAACCAGATTATGCAAATGGTTTCCACACGAAATTAATTATTTACGTTTCGAAAAGTTGCCTACATAGATAAGAAAATATTCCAAAATAAAAAAAGTGATGCTTTTATAGATTTATTTCTTTGTTTGTTTCAAAATTTCTAGAATTTCCTTCAAAAATGTTTTGAGTTTTAAATTTAAGAAGGTCAGTAACATTTACCAACGACGCCTAAAAACAACTTTTTTTAAGGGTCTTTAATAGGAAAAATATTATTTTCAATATTACGAAGAATGTGGTCGGTAAACAACGCTTTTTTTTTCTTTTAAAAAAATAACAATAATTAAAGAATGTTAGAATCAAGAATTTAAGAGTTTACGGAAAAGCTATAAAATTAAAGTTATATAGAAAACTACGAGAATGGTAACCCAGCTGATCCTAGGAAAAAAAATTTGTATATTACTTCACCTTCGCAATCATATGTTGTTTTATATATTTTGCCTTTTTTTCTGTTTTTCGTTTTTATATTTTGATGTATAGCAGAAACTAAAATCTGGTGCAGACTTCAACGAAGCCCAATGGGTGGGCCTGGCAAAAATGAGAAAATCGTAAAATTTTTCATATCTAAAAATTTTACACTAGATTGGATGTTTCTTAAACATATGGGTCTTTGGTTTTACGTAGAAAAAAAATTAAGCTAACATAAAGAGATTATCAAAGTGTCTTTGACAAATAAAAATGTAGTTTTGCGTATTTCCATTTCTGAAAAATATTAAAATAGAGAAAAAAGTTTCTTTGAATTTGAAAAAATATAATTTTAATTATATGTATTATTTAAAAAAAATAACTGTATAAACTAAACTAGAAAGGTTAAAGATTGTACTAAAGAAATAAGTAAGAGATACAAGTACCGAATTGAAATATTTTTTGGTTAGATGTCGCTACGTACACTGAAATAAAATTTTTCAGAAACTGAAAATTAATAAAGTTAGGTCAAACCAATGGTTTGTGTTGTAGCACTTTTCTCTTTATTTCACACTATTAAAATTATTTGCATATATTTAGAATGAACGATTTATGTAATCTTTAAAATAAAGCAAAAATTAATTTCAAGAGCGCTTAACAAAATGCTCGATTTTAATGGTTAATTGTGTGAGTTAAGAAAAATAATTATATTTTTTAATGACATGGAATTTACCGTTAGCTTTTTGTGTTTTTAAAAATTTGAAGAAGCTTGCGGTTTCGGAAATATAAGGCGTCCAAAATTCAAATTTTACAAATTTCAAGAGGCGATAACTTGAGAGGAGTGGAGATGTAAATAAATTTTATTCTAGAAAAATAAACTACTCGTATTTATTAACGTCTAAAAGCTGCTAAAATTTCAGGCTCCTACATCCAGGGATCTTGAAGAAAAACGTCTTCCAAAATTTGCAAAAAACGGATTTTGTATAACGGTAAATTTGAACGGTCAATTTGTTTTTCTAAAGTTTAACTATAGTATGTCGCGATAGCAAAAGCAAGCCCTGCCTTCCTGCGTTTGCAAAATTTGAAAAATGCTTACGGTTTCACCGCAACAAATTGTTAAAAAATGGCAGCTAAAATGACATTTTGGTGGGTATAACTTCTAGAGGGGGGGAAGTAGGTAAAAATTTTGTTCTACGGAAATAAGTTTCTAGAAAAGATCTATGCACATATTAAATTTCAGCTTTCTATCTTTAAGGATGTAGAAATTTTGTAAACATGTCCACGGACGGAAAGAGTGAAACTAATAAATACTTTTTTTTCAAAAATTTTTTGGAAAAGGGCTAAAAAGGAACTTTTTTTCTTTTAGAAACAAAATAAACATTAAAACGTAAAAAAAAAAATTTAAAAAAAAAATTTGAATTTTTATATTTTGAGGATTTAAAAAAAATATTTAAAAAATATTAAAAACGATGTTGATGAATTTGATACTAATTTTTAATTTTAAAAATGATGTTGATAATTTTGTCTTTAATTTATTCAATGTTCTTATTTATAACCCATATAAGTTCATATTCTTAACCTAAGTGCTTAAGAGTTTCCCTCTGTCCTTCCATCCCTCCGTGGACCCGTTCGCAAATCTTCTACACCCTTGAAGAAAGCCGAAATTTCTTAATATATAAATGTATCTTTACTAGAAAGTCGCCAAAACACAGAAGAAAAGTTTGAGCTATCTGGCAGTTTCCTCTAAAAGTTATAAGCTTTCAAAGAGCCATTTTAGAGAAACCGTAAACATTTAAATGCAAAACGGTTACGGGTGGGTGCAGAAGTCTGAAACTTTTCTGGCTTTTTGATACTAATAAAAAATTTTTTCCAACCCTAAATTCTCGCAAGTTTTCGCCTCTCCAAATTTGTAAAAGCCGCATTTTTGACAGCATATATTTCCGAAACTGCAAGTTTTTTCAAATATCTGTGAAAGAAAGCTAATAATAAATGACGCAATCAACCTTTGAAATCGAACATTATGTGTACGCCTCTATTTTTTTTAAACAATATGTTCACTTGGAAAATTGCTGCTTTACAAACCATTAAAAGTTTGAACAACTTTCTTAATTTTGTTAGCTATTTTTAATAAAAAATCTATTCGATTTGTAAATAATTTATTTTATTCATAAAAAACAAATATCTATGTGTGCTTGCCTACTTATATGTGTGAGTACTTTTAATAATAAAAGAAACGAGAAAAAATAGAGTTGACCGCGTCAACTCTGTCATAACCTTACAAATTTGTTATCATATGTGCGAATAAATAAGCTTTAATAGTTTTTGAGATATAGCCAAATAACTGTTGAAATTGTATGGAAGCCACCAGAAGCAGCCAACCAATTTCAACGACTTTTATCAAACACATTGGCCCTACAAATATATTCGTTTGTTTGAAATTTCAATACCATAGCTTTTATAGTTTCTGAGATATAGCCAAATAACTTTTGAAGTTGTACGGCAGCTACCACAAGGAGCCAAACATTTTCAACGACATTTATTAAACACATTGGCCCTACCAATATATTCGCTTGCGTGAAATTTCAATATCATAGCTTTTATAGTATCTGAGATATAACCAACTTTTATTAGACACATTGGTCCTACTTATGTATTCGCTTGTGTGAAATTTCAATGCCACAGCCTTTATAGTTTCCGATATATATCCAAATAAATTTTGAAGTTATATGGCAGCTTCCCGAACCAGTACCTCGATCATATCCAATTTAAATAGGATTCTAGTACTTACTATAATAAATCATTTGTCAAAATTTCGTAAACTTAGCTCAATTAGTTTTTGAGTTATCATTTGGACGAACGGACAGACGGACAGATAAAGCTAATTCGATTCAGAATTCGACACTGATCAAAAACATACACTTGAGTCTATATCTCAGACCATTATTTTTTAGCGTTACAAACGGTAAGCAAATTTAGTATGCCCTTCGAACATAGGTTCGTATCACGTATGGATATAAACATAGTATCCTTTAAAAAAACAAATGTTTTGTTTTTAAACTGAAAAGTAAAAATTTTTCATCCAAAAACTGAAAAGTAGAGTTTAAAAAAATGAAAAGTAGAAAAATAAAATGTTCTTGTGTTTTTGTATAAATTTCTAAGTCTATAAAATAGTTTCTGATTATACTTCATCATAATCTGTTATTTACCAAGTCATGAATAAAATGAAAGTGAAAAAAAAAGGTACAAAATGCAACAAAATCATAAACCAGAAAATGTATAAATTTCGTTAAACTTTGATGAACAATTTTTTTCCTTACTTCGAGCGTGAATATAAATATAGCATTTTTTTTTTTTAATTTGAAAATATTTATCACTTTACTTTATTAGTATTACACTTATTTAGAAAATAATAAAAAATTTTATTAGCACAATCAATATTTTTCTTTTAATTTGATATTACGGCTACACTTTCTAAAGTTAGAAAAGTAAACAAAACAAACCACTTCTTCACTTACGTATATTTTGTTATTTATTGCACTTTTTTATTGGTTTTTGCCACTGAAAATCCTATTTTTATTTAAAGAATAAAAATTATTTAACAAAAACTAGAAATATTTTTTTTTCGAAAACAAAAAAATATTTTTTTTTTTCAAATTTTGACAAATTGTCTAACAAAACACAAATATCTTTTGAAAAACTGTATTACCAAGCATCCAAATTTAAAATATTCCCTAGCAACCACAATATGGAAAAATGAAAAATCTGTATGATTTGTGTAGAGAAATATTTTTTAAAATAAATGAAAATTTTTATACTAGGAATTACTTAGTGGACAAAATAAAAACAAATGGTTTCTATGTTGGCCCCAAAAACTTTCTGCTACTCTATGTCTATAATACAATGTGCCCAAGGTGATATTTTTCAAAATTCTTAAGTAAAATTGTCAAATAAAACTAATAATTAGAAATCTTTTAACTTATGTTGTGTATAATTTTTTTAAAAATTTGTACATATGTTCATTTTCAAGGATCTTGTGATATTAAAATACGCTACGTACATATATGTATATAATTTAAATTTTATAAAATAAATTTATTCAAAAAGAAAAAAAAATTAATGAGTTGTGTGAGTTTATCTGTAACTGAGTTTTGTACAGATATTTCAAATAAATAAATATTGAATCAAAGATATTGTTTTAATCTTATCTTTTTAGCATTATGTTGTACATAATTTAAATAGAAGTCAAATAAAAAGACAAGCAGCCAGCGTTCCCACTTGGATACAATTGTATCCACTTGGATACATTTTTGCTTTAAATTTGAGCTTGGATACAAAGATACTCAAATCTGCTAGAATGTCGAAATTGGCTACATATTAAAATTTTTCTGAAATATGGATACATTTTTTTTTCAAACACTAAATAAATATTACAAAACAGTTAAAATGCTGCTAATATTAAATCATAAAGTTGCTTTATCTTCAATAAATGTTATTTACTGGCTGTTCTAAGCAGGTTTCCAAATTTTTTAGAAGAAAGTAAAAAATACACTTTATTAACTGCCTCTTCCTGTATTCAAATCCAGAAAATTTATACAAAAACGTACCAGAAATATTTTAGTGCAAGCTAGGTGTAAGTGTATTTTAATGTAAGCTATTGGCTGTACATATTTTTTAAAATTTGTCCGTTTTCATGGTGAATCGTCTTTACCGCATAGTTCAACAACTACAGAACATATACATATGCTTTTCTTACCTTAATTTTTACATTTAAAATGTAATAAAAGTTGTATGTGATTTCTTAAAGAATTTACTATAAATAACAAAACTCATATTGTGGAATAAAACAAATTATTATTAATTTTGGGTTAATTTGTACAAAATAAGACGACTTAGTATAATAATGCTATTTTAAGAGGTTGGATACATTTTGGTTACATTTTTTTCTCGAAATTGGATACATTTTGTTTTTACCGACTGGGAACACTGCAAGCAGCCCTATTATGAATTCTCGTTGTAAAATTCTACGAAATTCAACCTCCAACAAGGTTGGTTACGACAAACTTTCTCAAGAATTATATTCTCGCAAACTCCTTTTGTAGAGAATATAAATCAGCAAGGGCAACACAATTTTTCGGAGTCTCAATTCAGTATTTTATTTCAAATTTTTATTTGTTTTTTGTTGCTATTTGCGTTCAAAACTTGAGTTTTGCAGTTTTTTTTTAAAGAGGAAATTCAAACAAAAAAATTTAAAGCTTGAAAATTAAAAATAACCAGTCTTCAAACTGCTTGTTACGTGTGATTATTTCTTTCGTAGACTTTTCATATGTAATTTTACCACGAACGTAATATGATTACTCTATTACAAATTTTCGTAGTAGAATTTTAATTAATTGAGAATATTGAATTCGGAATTGAGAATATGAAATTCGTAATTTTCCGAAAATCAGAGCTACGAACGAAATTCGTGATAGGGCTGAAAATAAATACGCTCCTGTTACGAGTTTGACTACTGTGCTTGCAATAAAGAAAGAGTCAACTAGAAAAAATTTGGCTTCATTGTTTGTTTCTTTAATATCTATTTCTAATTCCTTGAAAAAAACTGCTGTGCTGCAATATAGTATTTTTTTTATTGAAAATATTGCTATAGATCAGTACCGTCAAAATTGTGGACCGCGATCTGACACAGCCAGTTTGAAAATCTTTGTGACCTTTCGCAGTTACAAAGTATTTCATATAATACGGCACACTCACTTAAAATACAAGTCACCCTTATTTATTGTGAAAAAAGAAGGCTAATAAAATATTTTCTTAAAAAATTGTAAGTTTCTTTTCTTTTTACGATTTTGTTTTAATTTTTTTATAAAATATTTACATTGATTTAGATTAAGATTTAAAAATTTTTTGGCGCCTGAACATACAACAATAGGACAGCATTGCTATAGGTAGGAAATATTAAGGTCGTTGGAATTTAAAATCTCTCTAGACTCAATATTGGATTTGACAGCAAAAGCAGTTTTTAAAAATTTTATCCCTTGAAATAAAAATCTACGTTAACAAATGTACATTGCGACAAAATATTAAAATAAAACTTACATTTTGAACCTGAAGTTTATGTAAATGTGATTATTCTACGCAGTATTGTATTGTACTACAAAAATCTAAGTATAGAAAAATTTTTAGCTGCACAAAATGCAGCATTATTACGTTGACATCACTGAACACAAAAGCTGCTGCCGCAATACTTTTACAGTATCTTACTAAAAACTATATATAGTAGAAATACCGTATTTATGCTTTAACGAAAACAGGCTACATATTTTTAACACAGTAGCTTTTTTGATTTATTTTTCAACGGAAAAATATATTTGCAATGCAACACAGAGATTTTACGAAATTACGAAACACGACAATAAGCATAATTGAATCTTAGTCTAAAGTAAATTGAAGCCATTTCGAATTCATTTTCACTATATGCAATAGCGAGAGAAACTTTCATACAAAAGGATATTTTTTTTAATATCGATTTATATAAAGTTTTGCTATTTTTTTAGTTTTGAAATATTTTGGAAGAGGAAAAAAATTTTTGGGCAAATAAGAATTCATTTTCCTTAATGGTAAATAAAGTTGGAGGAAAAATAAAATAGAGAATTTTTAGCTTTAGACAAACATTTAAAAACATCCAACTCATGTTTTCCAAATCAATGAAATTTTTTAATACTACTTGTTTGGAGTTTTTAAATTCAACGCTTTTCTAAATTTTATTCTATTTTGAGCGAATCATATATGAATATATTTAAAAATTTATTTAAATTAAAAGTTTTGAGGAAATATATTTTACCAAATACTAAAGCAATCAAAGTCAGCATTGCAACGAAAAGTAAATAGTCTGATCCAGAATGAGTTTCACTTGTAAGCATATGTTTTCTTAGAATATCTTCTGCTCGCACTTGCTGCTCCAATAAACTTAAACGAACGGCTTCACGCTCTTCAGGGGAAAGTCCGTTTACACCATCAAGTAGCTGCATTACCTCTTCAATACCAGGTAGCATGACGCGGTCATTTGATATAAGGTCATCCCCAACCAATCCATTTATTCGCTCTGTCGTCATCTTAAATTAATGGTAACTTTTACAAAAGTTTAAAGCTTAAGTATTTTCAATTTGCCAATTGAATATTCCAATCGATTTATGCAGCAGGGACTACCTGAAAACTTAAAATAAACCTGTATGTTACATATATTTCACATATTTCTATAAATATTGCTAGCAATTGGATAATATTCCCTCTTTTTGTTGTACAATTTTGTACCTAATTTATTTTTAATTATTTTTAAACAATAACATCGTGAAATTCATTTTTTATAAAAAAAGTTTCATTCTTAAAAAAAAAAGGCTGTTTTTAAAAAAATCTTAACGCAGCCGGTAGGATTCGAACCTACGCTCCCAAAGGGAATCTGATTTCGAGTCAGACGCCTTAACCACTCGGCCACGACTGCTTGTTTAACTACCATGCTAATTAGAAATATAAAGTAAGCGATTTTAACAGTCTCACAATTTATATTTCGCATATGTAATGTGAAATAAAAACACATATCATACTACATTTATATATATAACCATATTCTTAACACCCTTTAAAATTAAAGTAAAAAATTGTTTAAATATTATACATACATAGCATATTATACACATGTATTTATGTATTATATATGAATGGAGCTAGTTTCCAAATTAAAATCAATTTTAGAATTTGTGGTTTTGTATTAAAATTTTAAATTTTTGTGAATAAAACTCTATAGGCGCAACGCTGGTTTTGAGAGAACATCAGTAAATGATCTATTTAAATATTTTTTAAGCTCATCAATTTAAAATGTGTTGAATTTTCCATTTACTGGTATTTATTGTCGAATACACAATTTTACACCTGCATACCTTTCTTAACCAGTTTTTAAGTCAATCAGGATGAAAATAGTTTTCTAAGTCCATTTTTTCATATTCATGACGTAAATTAAAATTTTATCATTCACATATCAATAAGTTTACAACACTTCTACCAAAAACAAAAATCTACAAAACTGTCTTTAATTTTTAGACATCTTTTACACTTGTTTAAATTTAAAGAAAACTCTGCTATTATATATACAAAAGTGCTGCCGATGTCTGTAAATTATAAATTCATAAACAGTATTGTTATAAAATTTTTTTATGTTGATTGCAGTGTTAGGACATTGGCATTTTTATTGGCAAATTTGAAATAATGAGTATTAGTTTGCATTTAGTTTTTCAAAAATATTCCAAGAGCATTTTTGGCATAATAGCGTCTTTAAAAAGTATTATAAAATATTCAGCTTCAAAATTATTTAGGTTGCTAATTCGTTGTAATTCCTTCCAATATTAATACTGAAATTATTTTGTTAATTTATTTAACCCTTTGAGACCATCCCTCACGTTTGTGTTGCTTAGGTATTAAAACGACTCAAATTTTTTTTTTTCTTTGAAAAAAAAAACTATGTTTTAATTGATTGCATTCACTTTTAATACGTTTAATACAAAAAAAAACTTAAATTTTAAAAATAATTCATATTATAAATAAACATTATAAGTAAAAAAAATATATGTATAACAAAAATAATATTTTTTACATTATTCACAGATTGGGTTCATATTTTGTTTTAGAGTTTACATTGTTTTGAGTCTTACATATATCTAAATTAATATAGTTTTAATTCTATTTTCACAGCATTAATTTACATTTTGTACTAATTTATTTTGTTCAGTCTATGTTGGTGTGGTATGCTTTGAAGCAAACTTTGTCCTTAATAATACAAAGGTGCACTTTGCCTTTAACTCGTTCCTTTGATTACGTCATCCATCTGTTCTGCAGTTGCATGAAGAAATTTCCATTAAGTTTAATTATTAGTGTAATAAGCACATACTTATTAATTTCACAACTATGATGTTGTAGTAGTAAAATTCATAATATAATTAGTGCAATAGGCACAATCCTATAAATATATATGTATGTTCTTGTTATTGTGTGTTTCAATAGTAGATCGTATGTAGCAGTCAATGTAAACAAAGCAAATACTTAGTAATCATGAGAATTACAACATAAAGCAATGTAGAGAACATTTCGTCGGCAATTTCTTCATACCTCTGTAGCTCAGTTGGTAGAGCGTCCGCCTAGAAAGCGGTAGATCACTGGTTCGAGTCCAGTTCGAGGAGAACAATTTTTTTATTTAATTTTTCTGCCTTTAACTCGTTCCTTTGATTACGTCATCCATCTGTTCTGCAGTTGCATGAAGAAATTTCCATTAAGTTTAATTATTATTGTAATAAGCACATACTTATTAATTTCACAACTATGATGTTGTAGTAGTAAAATTCATAATAAATTCTAATGTTTGTTTATTAGAAGATTTTGATATCGATGAGAGCACTATGGTTTTATTCAATGAAAAAGAAATATGCCAAGCGATAAAGTTTCTTAAACTGAATAAGGTTACAGGTTTTGATCTCACTATTTGCCGAGAAAGGCTTTAAATTTTTCAAGAAATTGATAAATACAGCAGTTAACCTAAGATATGTTTATATTGCTTGGAAAGTAGCGGCAGTTATTATGATAGGAAGACAGAGGAAACCCTTGTTGCAAAGTCATCTAAAAACTTTTTGGAAAATTGTTCTTAACAAGGCTGATGCCGATAATAGAAAATAAGAAATTGATTCTAGATCATCAGTTTGGTTTTAGAACAAAGTATGCAACAATTGATCAAGTAAACAGAATAGCAAATATTGTGAAAAAGACGTTAGAAGATAGGCAAATATTTTCGAAATATTTCCGGACGTGTCCCCGGCCTTCGATAGGTTTTGTGATGACGGTTTATTATTTAAACTTAGGAAACTGATACCTTTGCAATTCAACCCCTATTTCATGCAACTATTGACCCCTAGTTCGTAAGTCTGGATTGTCAACATACAATAAGTTATTGATATATAACAAAATGATAAAGCCTATATTGGCATATCGATTGTAGCTATGGGATTATGCCAAGCAAACGGCACGTCAAACAAACACAAACTTTTACAAACGAGGTTCTTTGTAATATACTGTGCATGCTCCCTGATATGTGTGCAATAGTGACATTCATAGGGATCTGGGTGTTTCCCAAGTAGGTAAAGAAATAACGACCTGTGCCATAAAACAAAAGGCACGTTTGGAACAGCATATAAATGTCAAGGCCTCTGGATTTATAGGGGAGGGGGTTTAGACGAAAAGACTGAAACAAACGAGACCTCCCGAATTAACCTAGAATGCTGTGACAGCACTTCCGTCCCCTCCTTTACGGAACATGGACACAAAAACACAGTTTATGACCATCCAATTGCACTGACGAGAGTTTGGGTCTGCCTATCTTTGTCTTTCGATAATTTTTAACACCTGTTTTAAAAAAAATTTATATATTTCTTGGTTGGCCAATTCTTGACACTATAAATGGAAATTATGTAAGGCATCTGGCGTTACACAAAATTTACCATATATTTATATTCTTTTATATTTTGAACCAAAATATTATGAACACATGCATAGTACTATTTTATAAAATATTTAAAATAGAAACTTCATTAGTCCATTTTTTTTACTTTTCATTCTGCAATTCACTTTCTTTTTATTTCATCATTTCTAGGAAAACTGTAAATATCTATCTGAAAATAACTCTATTTCAAATACCGTACATTTAATTGGTAAAATTATGTCATGCAAAGTAATTATAGTTTTAAACAAAACAAAAACAATGTTTTCTTTCCAAAATTTAAAACTAAGTAAATTTACGAATTATGAGGTGTACTAACACTATGGAATGAGTATTACTTTTAATTATTAAAGTAATGTCTTTATATCTAACAAGTCCCAATACTCAATTTTTTTTACGAAATGTTACGAATTTTTGGCCTCGTTGTTGGTTTTTTCTTTAAATGCCACTGATCGTGTCATATTTTTTATTATTTTTTTCCTTTTTTTTTACGTAAAAAAGAGATTAATATTTTAAAAAATCTCAGGATATTATACACATTTTTTAAAAAGCTTCCCATTTAAATTCTATTGCACGAAAAAGAAAGGTAGGAGGAAAGAAAAAATGAAAAAAAATTTCAAATTCATATTTCAGTATGGTTTCAAATGTTAATGAGGAAGGATGTATGATTTTTTATGCACATTTTGTATTTCCCAATAAGGTAAGTTGAGTAGTGTCGGCTAACAAAAATGTTATTAAAAGTAATATAGGTTGACACATTTCAACAATTTGAATTATCTCATTTCGATTATTCATACGTTACTTATAAAATTGTTTCAAGTAATTTCAGTTAGTTTTTAAATTATTAAAAATAAATATGTATGTACCTACTTCCAATAAATTTTTTTTTAAATAATTATTTTAAAACTATTTCAAACATGTTATACTGAGTGCTTCAAAAATTTTGCTGTGCTCTTTTTTCATATTTTATTAGCAGGTAAACAAGAGCAATCTATTTATAAAATGTCCCTACATGTGTATGTATGACCTATCTTAATTTTAAACGGAAAGAATTTTAAAATACCTGAACAAAAATTTTAAAATACCTGTTATTTTACAGTCGGAATTTTTGAGTCATTTGGTAAAATACCATTTATTTCAAAACTAGAAAAATATTCAAATCCGGTCATAAAAATATATGATTGTTTTTTCCAAACATTTTAAATATTTTTTTTTCTTAGGTAATTGATATAAATGATAGTAAGTTTTTAATATTTTTTCAAATAAAAATAGAGGTAAAATTTTGAAGTTTATATAAAATTTGTATTTAACAAATAATATTTGATTGTATTTTAGATATTATTTTCTAATTCCCTCTTCAAATTTTTTCTTTACTATGTATTTATATCAATATTTAAGAATTATCTTTCATTAATTATATTTTCAACTTGACACCACAGGTACTTCCCATATCTTGCGTTAACTTACCCTATTAGAAAAAAAAAGCTGTTCACTTAAAAATAATAAAATGCTTTCAGTAACATATAAAACGTTGAAGGTGAAGGATGTGCTTGTTGTTTTTCCGCTTTTTTTTTAAATTTTAAAATAATTATCAATGAAAATATTAATATATTTTTTTGATTTTTCAAATATATGTTCTAAATTTTACCTGCTTTATAATAAGTGTGAATTTATTTTAATATTTCTTCTCAAAAAATAGCCACTTCGATTTAAAAAAGGCCATATAAAATAAGGTGTGCTTTCAAGTTTCTCTCTGAGCATTGGGACTTGTTAGATATAAAGACATTAATTAAAGTAAATAATATTCACATGCATATGGTGGAAAACATCTATTTGTTTTTGCAAATGGGAATAACAATTGGGAACTATGCACTTTTTCCTTTTTTAAAAAAAAATTGGTTTTTTTTTTTGTGTTTTATATTTTTCTTTTACAAGTTTATATTTAATAATATTACTTTTAAGATTTTCTTCGAAATACTTTATAATTTTTCACTCACAAACTACACTAATTTAAAAAAAAAAAATTTTTCCGTTCAGCGACGTCACTTATTTTTTCAAAAAAAAAACAACATTTGGCATAAAATATCAATTTGAATTTGACAAAGCTTGGAACAAAGAGGGAGATTTACCTGAATTTTTTAACTTCACTGTGCTTTTTTTCAAAATACGATCTTTTAGGTAGTGTAAGCGAGATAGAAACATAGATGCTATTTCCTTCAGTATTTATAATTTGTTCTCCCAACCCAACCCAATGCTCAATTTTTTTTACGAAGTGTTGCGATTCGTTGCCGCCGTTCCTATTTTTTTTAAGTAAAAAAGAGTTTAAAACTTTAAAGCATTTCTCGATGTTATATACATGGCATAAATAATAATAACGTAGGATATTCCCATTAGCGCACTTTTGAAGGCTTTTTAAAGTACGCCACTCAGTGTAACTATTTGAAATATCTTTTAACGTACAATTTTGTAAGAGTGGAAATTAAAGTATTTGTGTGACTTTTTTAAGTATAAATAGAAACTTAATAATTTAAAAATTGTATAATTAAAAATTAATCAAACTTTTTTTGATTTTTAAGCGATAAAAATTTCCAGTCATAATTTCTTATTGCC